TAATATATACGAATATATGTATGCATGTATATGTATGTATGAGTAGGCCCCAGGGGGGCCCGACGGGTGCCTCAGTGCCGCATGGGGCGTCCAACGAGCCGGACCCACCAAAAGAGCCATCAGGGGGGCCAAATGAGCCTCGACCTTCCAAAAGAAAAGAGCCTTCAAGAGAACCCATGGGGACACCAAAACGCCTTCAGCACGCCTACCATTATTTCGAGACGGCCCACGAGGTCTCCAACATGCCCCAAGAGAGCTTCAAATTGCTCTCCGAGAGAGGCTCGAGGGGTGAACATCATTGATTTCCCTGAGGTTTTGTAAATAATCTTCGTGTGGTCGCTTGCTCCGCTGCCCGAAGGCCAAAGATAGCAAACCAGGCGTCCAAGAGGGCCCCAGTACACCCCAAGAGGGCGCCAAAACGGCCCAAGAGGCGCCCTGGATCGCCCCAGAGGGCTCAAGGCGGCCCCCCACCCCCAAATGAGCTTGGATACGCCAGAAGGACCCTACAGGAGGCCAACAGGGCCCCAAAACGGCCCCGGCACCGCCACCATTGGTATGATGTGGCCCACGGAGTATCCAAGACGGCCCAGGATGGCTCAACACTGCTTTCAGAGAGATCCCCGATCGACAATTTTTTCTTATTTCCCATTAGTTTACCACTCATCTTCGCGTGGTCGCCGATGGCACAAGAGGCGTCCACGTGTGCCCCAATACACCCAAAGGGGGCTCCAAAACGGTCCAAGAGGCGCCCCAGAAGGTCCAAAAGGCATCAAGACGGCCTCCCAAATCAGCCTCCCCGCGCCAAAAGGGAGTTCAAGCAGGCCCACAGCGGCATACAACGGCCCAGCACCCCCAAACTTGTTTTGCTTCGAGACGGCTCACGAGGCATCCAAGACGCCTCAAGAGGGCGTCAAACTGATCTCCGAGAGAGTCCCAATAGGTGATCATCTACGATTTGCCTGTGATTTTTTGAGGATTACGTGTGGTCGCCTGCGCCGCTTCCCGACGCTCGGAGACGTCACAAGGGATGCGCAACACACGCACACACATACCCCCACACACGCACGCACGCACGCACACACATACGCACCCACACACACGCGCACGCACGCATGCACACACAACACACAGCACACACACACACGCACACGCACACGCACACAACACACACACACGCACGCGCACACGCACACGCACACGCACACGCACGCGCACGCGCACACGCATACGCACATGCACGTGCACACGCACACGAACACGCACAGGCACAAAGACACGCACACGCATATGCACATGCGCAGACTCAGACATAGACACAGGCACAGACACAGTCGCAGACGCAGTCGCAGGCACAGACCCAGACACAGACACAGACACAGACGCAGACGCAGATACAGACACAGACACACAGACACACCGACATACAGAAACACAGGCACACAGACACACGGACTCACAGACACACAGACACACAGACACAGGCACACAGACATACAGGCACACATAGACACAGGCACAAACACAGGCACAGGCACAGGCACAGGCACAGGCACAGCCACAGGCACAGGTACAGGCGCAGGCACAGGCACAGGCACAGGCACTGGCACAGGCAAGGCACAGGCATGACACAGACGCAGACCCAGACACAGACACAGACACGAGCATATAAACAGACACACACACATATACATATACACATATACACACTTTCAAACACACATAGACACACACACGTACAGACGCACGGACGTACATGCATACATACACATATACACATACGTACATACACACGCACGCACGTACACGCCTACACCCATGCCCACATGCACACGTATTTTTTCCGTCGCGGCGCGGCAGAGGCAATCTGCTCGCGCGCTCTAGTAGCTCGGGTGGAGCGTATTTTTTATCCGGCTTCAAGTGAAAATGACAGGGCAGAGGGCGGCCGCGGAGCGAGGAGAAAGGGGGAAGGGCCTTCATAGCACAAAGGTCTTCGGCTTGATTGGCCAGTGCGACTGGCCGTTGCTGAGGCGTCCTGGCAGTGAACGTGGAGCGGCGTCGCGCCCGCATCCAGGGTTCGAGGCAAAGGCTGCAGGCGCTGAAGGCGTATAACAGACCGAACCAGTGCAGGGTGGAGTTGCGAGCGAGCGAGGGAAGCGCCCACGTGTCCGTCTGAAGGCCATGCTGCCAGGTATTCCAGCGCACAGCGGCTGCGTGGTGCAAGGGTGCCATGACCGAGGGGCTGGCGGCTGCAAGAATTTTGCGAGCCTCCGAGCTGAACTGCTGAGGCTGGGCTGCGAGACCGCAGCAGGACGACGGCTGCGGCACCGCGCAGGGCAGCAACCGAGCGCTGCAGAGGGGGGCAACTGCTGAGGTGGCTTGGGCGGCGAGGAGCCACCGCGCGCCGCTAAAGGCCTGGCGGCGGCGAGCATGGCCAGAGGCTGGAAGAGGGGGGGCGGTCCTGGCTGGTGTACGTGTCGCAACTGGGAGTGGCAGGACCGCGCTACCATAGGTTTGGCGGGGCGAGGGCGCCCAGCTGCGGGAGCAGCGGCGGCGGGCGACGGCGACCGGCGACGGCGTCCCTCTCCCACTCCGACGGCCACTGGCTGCGGCGTCGGGGGTGCTGGCTCTGCGGTGGCCTGATGGTCGCAGTCCACGCGCATGAGGACACTTGATGCATCGCCCGTCCCACAATGTCACGCCCAACTTTGGCGCGCTTGCGCGACCACCAGTTGACCAGTTGCCAGCAGAGGTTCGCCACCTTGGCCCGGTCATTCAAATTCGACCTCTCACCGTCCTCTGGTAGCAGATGGATGGTCTTTCCTCGGGCTTAGTTGCGGCATTTCTCTTTGCTGAGCTGATGCACCGCGGCGCCCTCCTGGTGCAGAATCTCGTGTGCAATGCACCTGGACTGCTCCGGCTCCGACTTGGACTCCGAGTTAATGTCGCGCAGCAGCTCGTCCGGCGTGCCCGAGACGGACCGGCGACTCTGATTATGTCACCGTTGGCCACACCCTTTGAAGCTCTGGCACATCCTGACCCCGCAGTGAAAGCCAACGACGGAACACCCGCGACCGCAGGCCGCTGCTCCAGCCCCCCATCATCCGCAACGGCAAGCACGGCTTGGAAGGTGGGGTGATCAACGCCGCCCGTTTGGTGTCCGTTTTCTCCGTCGCGCGACCGTGCGGCGGCGCGTGCAAACTATCGTTGCCTGGTTCGATGCAAGGTTGTCCCGCGGCAGAGATGGATCGCACTATCTTGGGATTCTCCTCGCAAGTTTCTGAACCGTCGCGAAGTCGAAGCCGGCGCCGTAGTGTGATGCCATCCGCACCCCGTCCGTTTCGCCTTCATGCCAGAGTTGAGGGGTGGGCGATCCAAGCGGGCTGCCGTACCGCCGGCCTTGATGATGAGGTGGTGCCGACGGTTGGCAATGTCGCGTGACTTCGGCTGGGCGTAGGACTCGTTGTCCACCGCCGTACTCGTTCCCGGACCTCGGAGAAGGGGCCCCTCGTTCTCCGCCCTGGTGGCTCCGCCAGCCCGAGGTCCCGTCCTTGCGCGCCAACCGAAGATTCGTCCTGTGGCCCCCAGGGGAAAGCGCGAGCAGTTCCACCGCCGACGCGATCGCCTGGAGCGTTCCTGCTCCGATCAAGACCGTCACTGCGAGGCGCGCGATCACGGGCCAGTAGACCTATGGCCAGAGAGCGCCGAAAACGACGACGGCCAGGGAGTTGACCTCGGTGCCCAGGATTCTTCCGCTGCTCCAGACCACGCCGCCCCGGGCTAGCTCGGGCGTTTTGCGCCTGCTGCATGTTCTGAGCGGCCTCCGCCTCTTCGCTTTCCTCTGCTCCTTCTGCGCGTTTTTGTGCTTAATTCTAGTTCCTAGCGTGTCCCGCAAGTGCCCCGACCAGCGCCCGTGCCGCTTTTGCACTTCTGCGCCCGCTGATTTTTTAATGGAGTTCGTGAACCGCCCCCCCAGCCGACTCATTGGAGCGTAGCTGGGACCGAACCGCCCGAATATATCATCATCTTCGTCATCTTCGCTGTGCTCCCCGCGGGAAGGTGTGGTGCTTTGCTCGCGCGCGCGCCTCTTCGCCTCCTCGACTTCCTCGCTCGGGGGCCGCGCGCTGGGCGGGCCGAGCCGCTCGGCCTCTGCCCGCCGCGGGGCCTGCCTGCCTGCCCCAGGCTCCCCGCAGGCGGCCCCTTCGACCCAGGGCGCCGCGCTGGCGGCCTTTCCCCGAACCCCTGAGCAGCTGGCGCCCCGGGCCAGCGGGTCCGCCTCGCCGACTCCCGGCGGCGACTCGGCACGATCGGCGCGCCGCTGCGCGGCCCCCCTTGCCGCCCTGCGGGAGGCGCGGCCCCCCCGGGCCCCTGGGGCGCGAGAAGGGCTTGGGGCCCAAAGGGGCCCCGGAGTGGGGCGCGGGAGGAGGGGGGGGCGGCCCCACCGACCCCGAGGCACCGCGCACTGAAAGCTGACGTTCCATGCTACACCCGAACTCCCACGCGTGCGTGTGTCCAAGGGGCGTAGCGTAATGAGACCGGCCCGCGCGCGCAGTATAATGGGCGCGCTATGCAATGCGCAACCGCCGCGTCGGCACGCCCCTCGCTGGCTTGGCCGCCAGTGAGCCGGAGCGCGGTGCCCCCGTCAGTGGCGTGCCCTGATGAGGGGCGGGGGCTGGTAATACAGAAATTGACGTCCATTTAATTCGACTGTGTAGCACAGGGTCCATCGTCGGCCACGCCGCCGGGGCCATGGCATCGTGGGCACCATCGGCTACTACGACGTCGAATATCATAACATGCCTTACAACTCGCTTAGTCAAGGTCTCAGGGTGATTGATGGTCTCTTGACCTGGCAAGTGCGTCGGACTCGCTTCGGCGTGCTCCAGGGCATTCTTTCGCTAATACCGCGAATGTCCATGAACCGCTTTGTGGCCCCTTCAAAGAAGCTTTACAATCAGCATGTGCGGCAAGCTGCAGATTTTGCTCCGCGCGGGCACTCCCTCTGCTTCTGCCCCTCCCCTTATCGCCCTCTCTCCCCGCGTCGCCCTTTTCTGTTCTTCCCTCCCCCCTGCGTTAGCCGCTCCAACTCATGCCCAAATCTTACAACAATCTTACAACAATCTTCGCTTGTTCAGTTGTGCAGTGCGGAATTCTGGGCCGTTCCGTCTAGGCCTGCCGACTCCACCCGCGCGTCCTCCATGGTCGGGCATTGTTCCGCGTGGGCGGCGTTGCGCGTGCCATTTGCCATTAGTGGTGTGCCATGGGAGTGATATTTGCTTTCGCCTTCCTCCTCCCGGTATTCTCTCCTCTCTTTGTTTTGCCGTTGGTCGTTGCGATTGTTGTCGTCGCTGTCGTCGTCGTTTCTCCCGTGCCGTTTTCTTGGCATCGCCGCGCGCGCCGCGCAATGTGGAGCCTTAGGCGTGGTTGGGGCGTTCCGCGTGTTTCTCTGCTTCGCTGTCGGGTCGTCGTCGTGGTCTCGGTCGCGCTCGTCGTCCCCGCTTTCCTTTCCTTCTTCCCTTTCCTGTCGCTTTCTCGTGTCGTCTTCCTCGCTTTCTCTCGCCCCGTCCTTCCCCCCCATTTATCGTCGTCCTCGTCGTCGTCGTCGTTGTCGTCGTCGTGCGTGGCCACGCCGCGTGGGGAAATTGTTTGTGCCCGACTTCCCGCAGTCTCAAAGCAGCAGCCGGCAGGATGTCACAGCCGATCGGTTTGTTTACGACTTTGCCATCGTTCATGTGCGCGGCGTCGTTTCCGCCGATGCGCCGTCGAGGCGCCTGGCTCTTTACTTACCTACGTTCCGTAGTTTCCCCTTCCCTCCGTCGACGGCCGCGGGGGCGGCGTCGTAGTCGGGGTCGCGGGCAAGAGAATTGCCAGCTTCCTCGACGTCGTGGCGGAGTACTTCATTACCCTCCCCCTCCTCCCCTCCTTCCGTCGCACATCCCCCTCAATTTTTTTTGGTGACGCGAGCGCTTCCCTCGGACTTCGACGGCATCGACGGTTATTTCTTCGACGTGCCGCACAGCGGCCCATCGAAAGGATGTTCATCGGCAAATTCATAATTTTTCCCACAAGCAACTCGCAATGTATAGTCATGGCGTCGGGCCCATTGCATGCCTTCCCCCTTCTCTTCGGCGTCGCCGCCTCACGCGCATTTCAGCATGCGGGCCTGGTGCGATTGCTAGCAAGATGCGTATCGGTTTCGGAACTTGTCCACTTTCAGGAGGCATCGTTGCCCAGGCAAGGGGGGTGCTTGTCTGGCTCTCCGCTCGTTCTTCGGGCCTTTGGTTTGGTGTTTTGCGGCCCCGTGCCAGAGGCAACCCCTGTGTCCAAGGGGCGTAGCGTAATGAGACCCGTTTGCGCGCACGGTAGAACGGACGTGATATGCAATGCGCAATCGCCGCGTCGGTACGCCCCTCGCTGGTTTGGCCGCCAGTGAGCCGAAACGCGGTGCTCCCGTCAGTGGCGTGCCCCGATGAGGGACGGGAGCTGGTAATAGAGAAATTGACGTCCATTTAATTCGACTGTGTAGCACAGGGTCCATCGTCGGCGACGCCACAGGGGCCATGGCATCATGGACACCATCGGCTACTACAACGTCGAATCTTCTAACATGCCTTACAATTCGCTTAATAAAAGTCTCAGGGTGACTGATGGTCTCTTGACCAGGCAAGTGTGTGTGTGTGTGTGCGCGTGCGTGCGTGCGTGCGTACGTGCGTGTGTGTGTGTGTGTGTGTTTCCATCGTGCGTCGTCGGTGCGTCCGTCGGCTAGCACCCTGCCCGTCAGTTTTGCCAGACTTCGCTTCCTAATCGCTACTTCGCATTCGGCTGGTCTGTCAATTTACAGGTTGTCTTTCGTCTTTGGTGTCTTACATCGGTTTGATGATGCAGTGGCACCATTTGCACCAGACTGCTGTTAGCGCTTCGATTTGTCCGCGTCGAGCTCATGTTCCTCGGGCTTTTGGGCCGCTGCACTTTGGCATTGCGGTGCCTCTCGTGTTTCACCATCTTCTGTATTGCCGTGACCGGGCTCTTTCATCATGGCGCGTTCGACTGAGTTCGTTCGCAATTGACGCCTCCACCTGCCGACCGCGCCTGAGGTCCCTCTGCGCCGCCGACTCCAAATGTGTGTGTGTGTGTGTCGTGCCGCCTACTGCGTTCTCCGTGCGGGACCCCCTCGGGTCGGTGGTCGATTCGTCCTCCCTTTCCCCCCGCCATCCACGCCTGGATGGCACATGGCGGCGCTCTCCCCCCCTTCTGAGCCCGGTTCGCCCAGCCGCTGCACGAGTTTCTTTGTCTCCTCGCTGCGCGCGAGGCCGCGACCGCCAACGAAGTGTGTGTGTGTGTGTGTGTGTGTTGGTGGGTTGGTTGGTGGGTGGGTGGGTGGGCGGGTCGGTGGGTGCGCGGGGTTTTCGTCTCCAAAATTTGCGGCGGCGGCGGTGGCTACAGCTGGAGGTGGGCCTGGGCCGCCCCGGGGGCGAACACCAGCGGCTTCATCGAGTTCTCCAGGTCCCGTCGCCCTGCCCTGGGCGTGGGGGATGGAAAGGGGCGGGCGGGGCGTCCACGGGGAGGGGGACGGGGGACTTGGCAGGAGTGGTCAGGGGAGGGAGGTGAGGAGGGCGAGGGCGAAGGGAGGAGAAGGAGGAGGAGGTGAGGAGGAAAAGGAGGAGGAGAAGGAGGAGGAGGAAGAGAGGAAGAGAGAGGAGGAGAAGGAGGAGGAGGAGGAGGAGGAGGACGACGAGGAGGGATAATGAAAACGAGGAAGAGGTAGATGTGGAGGAGCAGGAGGAGGAGGAACAGTAGGAGGAGGAGGAGAGGAGGAGGAGGAGGAGGAGGAGGAGGAGGAGAGGATCATAAGGAGAGAGGAGGAGGAGGAGAGGAGGAGGAGGAGGGGGAGGGGGCGGAGGAGGTTGAGGAGGAGGAGGAGGAGAGGATCATAAGGAGGAGGAGGAGAAGGAGGAGGAATATAATGCCAGCTATAATGTTTGGGCGAGTCGTTGTCCCCCGCTCGATGAAGGCGTATTATCATGTTGTGAAACGGGGCATTGGCGCAGGCGGAGTGCGATTTGTCTAGTGACACTAGTCAATAACAGGATGGTGAATCAAACTATATCAGCTCGAACTGATAGCCTGCAAATGTTACACATGGTAACCTGTCGTGCGACCCAGTGTGCATCCTGTATGCGAGGATATGAAACAGCCTGAATGGGGATTCCGATATTCATATGAGGGCGAATTGCGCTGTCCCGAGTGGCGCTTGGCAAATGTTACACATGGTAACCTGTCGTGCGACCCAGTGTGCATCCTGTATGCGAGGATATGAAACAGCCTGAATGGGGATTCCGATATTCATATGAGGGCGAATTGCGCTGTCCCGAGTGGCGCTTGGCACGTGGGTCGCGATGTTCTTCGAGTGCGGCCATGTGACATGGCCATGCTGCTGTGCACGACGGGGACGTGCAGGAGACAGTTCCCTGAACAGTGTTTGCAGTCAGCGTCCGTTACCCGTGCTCTGGCTTACTGGATGGGTGGGTTGGGGTTTGGCCTGGTGGGGCGCCCGTGAGAGCCTCGCGGGCGCTCCGCGTGTGGCAGCCGGGCCGGGGTTTCCACCGGTGCGGGGGAGGAGGAGGAGGAGGAGGAGGAGGAGGAGGAGGAGGAGGAGGAGGAGGAGGAGGAGGAGGAGGAGGAGGGAGGAGGAGGAGGAGGAGGAGGAGGAGGAGGGGGAGGGGAGGAGGGGAGGAGGAGGGGAGGAGGAGGCAGGAGGAGGAGGAGAGGAGGAGGAGGAGGGAGGAGGAGGAGGAGGAGGAAGGGGAGGAGGGAGGAGGAGGGTGGGAGGGGAGGAGGAGGAGGGGCGCCCCTGGGCGCCCCGCGTGTGGTCGGTGGGCCGGGGGGCATCGCCCGGTGCGCGCCCGTGGCCGCCTCGGGGGCGTCCCAGGCGTGGTGCTCCTCCTCCTCCCCCTTATCCTCCTCCTCCTCCTCCTCCTCCTCCTCCTCCTCCTCCTCAATCCTTCTCCTCCTCCTCCTCCTCCTCCTCCCCCTCCTCCTCCTCCTCCTCCTCTGTCGCTGCACACTTGAGAGTGCACCCCATCTTCTGCCAGATCGTCGTCTTCGTCGTCGTCGGCGTCGGCGTCGTTGTCGTCGTCGAAGTCGTCGGAGACGTTGTCGGTGTACCCCATCTTCTGCCAGATCGTCGTCTTCGTCGTCGTCGGCGTCGGCGTCGTTGTCGTCGTCGAAGTCGTCGGAGACGTCGTCGGTGTCGTCCCAGTCGTTGTCGTCGGCGTCGTCGCAGTCGGTCTTAACAGGTTTTGCACACCAAGCTGCGGGTGGGTGGGTGGGATGTTTGCGCGAGCAGTGAAGATGACGACTTCAAGTTCAGCAGAGTGGAGTGCACCCCATAGCTTGCACGGCATCGATGGCTCCACCCAGGGTGCACCGCATGTGCTCCCTCCCCAATCAAGAGGTAGACTCTCTCTCCCCCCCCCTCCGAGGTCGAGATTATCCGCTCCCTTGCGCGGATTCTTGGACACTCATTCTGCATGACATTTCAGTTTGGAAATCGGGTAACACAAAGTCAGTCAGGCCAGTATCGCTGCTCCCTCCAGCCCTGTCAAAGAACACCTTGAGGTGCACAAGAGTTGATCCAGCAAGTGCGCTGTCGTATTCCTTATGAAATAGTGCCATGCGGGCCACAGGCGCGCCCTCTCGCGCGCGCGCCTGCCCAAATCATTCCGCAACAACTTAGCAACATTACCATCATTTGCAGGTCCGATTGTTCCGGTCTGCATGTGCGTACACACACTTGCACATATGTATACGCTGGACCAGGCTTTGAAGCCAGTGCACTTCCAGCAAACAGTTGCCAGGCTTATGTTCGGGTGCACTCGTTGAAATCACACGGGAGCCACTGGTTTTTGGCCATACTGCCAAGCGAGACCATGCGGTCTTTCACTCAAGGGCAGAAGGAACGCCGCTCCATGACGGTGGTCCCGTGGCCTTCAGCCTCTGGAGCTGGAGGCTCTTGACTTCTGGTGGCTCTGGATTGCCTGAAAACGCTCGATGTCATGAAAAGGCTTGCCGTCGTCCGGGTGCAAGCCCGAGAGCAGCCTTCTCCGAGCAACATATCTTTGGCCACCCTTTGGCGGCCCCTTGCACTCCACCAGAAGCCCTTTGAAAAGAAAGGTAGTGTGGTTGCCGCATCTCGCACAGAAAATCAAGAGGCCGTCTCAGCAGGTGCCTGCTGACAGGGCGTGAGAGGAGTGCACCTTTCTTAGGCGCTCCCGAAACTCGCCCGAAAAGACGTGCATGTTTCATTACGGCGATGAGAGGCCGCTTCGTCGGAGTGGCTAAACGTAAAACACGCTGCACATCTCCACGGACCATGCTCAGCGCTTTGCCAGTCATGGACCAGAATGAGCTAAGTTTTAGCTTCGACTGGCTGCTTGACTTTGTCCTCTCTCCTGTGGCCTAGGCCAAGCCTCAAGCATCCTCGGGATGAACTTCAACATGCTAGCGGCGTCCTCCTTTAAGTCTCGAGATCTGCCGACGCTGTCGGGTCAAACGACGGGTGCATTTGGAGGGCCGACTTAGCAAACTGATCGCACTTCTTATTTTTCTGAGAAGGAAGCCCATCTTGCGGCGATACTTTGTCCTCATCCTGATGAGACTTCACCTTGATGGCTGCTTTCAATAGGTGTCGGCTGTCGCTGCCGAGGGCTGTGCGGAAAGTGCCTGCATACATCTTGCGATGCGAGAGGCGTGTAGGCATTGGCTTGTGAGATCCGTCCAGCACCGGCTTGCAATCTACAGAAGCTTTGGATTCGGGGCACACGCCCGCGCATGTCGGAAACACTCGACAATCTTCGCGCACCCGTCAATTCTGTCAAACAATTCCCAGCGTGCCTCACGCTCGCGTCTCCGCGCGCACACGTCGAAGTCCTTCCAACACCGTTTGTCTCCTTAAGGGTTTCAACACAGAGGGGTACACGCACATGATCAACCCGCACGACTTTTTCAAGCATCTGAAAAGCATGCATTCGGGGTTCGGAATTTCTGCGCGCGCACTTCCTCACAATCCTCACCAACACCTTCGTTATCGTCATCGCCAGCGTCATCACTGCCACCATCATCACCGTCATCTTCATCAACATCATCATCACCATCGTCGTCGCCACCATCCCCACTGTCGTCATCAACATTGTCATCGTCATCGTCGTGGTTGTGACCCTCGTCGTCAACGTCACCATCATCAACCTTTGCTCGCCCGAGTCATGGATCTGCATGAGAAGGGTCCTCGCATCATTACATCATGAAAGTTTTACTCAGCAAGGTGCGCGTGGGTTGGTTTGATTTTTGATCGTTCAGTAGAATTGACGAGGAACGCTGGGGTTACCTTGCGACACATGGTTATGTCACATAGGCAGCACTGCGCGGTTTGAACCGCGCAGTTTGCACCGCATAGCTGGCACCGCACATCTTGCACCACATAGCCTGCGCCATGTAGCTTGCACCATACAGCTTACACCACATAGCTGGCACGACATACCTCACACGCCCAGGGTACACGGACTCACTGTTTGGGGCCCTCGCTGGCACATCTGTTTGATATTATAAATCAGTGGCCATGTATGAGATTGCCAGCCTGTTTTCGGACTGCGCATGGCGGACACTTGTGTACATAACCAGGGTACGTCCAGACGGTTTCAGCACAGCTACCTTGGTCTGAGGATGTACGCCACGACAAACCACACGCACGGAAAAAAACCATTGACGACGCGTTTACGATTAACCATCGATTGCGTGCGAATGCCAGACGAGCTAATGACATCGCACATGAGATTCAACAGCCATCGCAAACATACAACCAGGCATTGGTGGATAATTGAGGTGGTGGCAGAATAACGGTTGTGCCAATACTGATTCGATCATCATGCGTCATTCTCTCGTTGTTATTTCCCTACTCGTACTTTGCCCTACCCATGACCTCTTCTTTTCCCTCCCGATCGCGCTCTTTAATACTCGTGCCTGCTCCTTCTCTGATGCCCGGTCCCCGAACTCTCGCGCCCCTCTGCCCCACTCCCTCCTCCTCCTCCTCCTCCTCCTCCTCCTCCTCCTCGTCACCCCGCAGCCCCTCGCCTGGCCCTCGACTCTCTACCCCCCCGCCTCCTCTCCCCTCCTCTCCCCTCCTCTGCCGTCGTCTGCCCTCCCCTTCCCTGCCCTTCGCTCCCCCTCCCCCTCTGCCTCTCCCGCTGTCGTCCCTCCCCTCCCCTTCACACACCCTTTCCACTAAGGGGGGGCAGGAGGAGGAGGCGGAGGAGGAGGAAGCAAGGATGATGATGATGATGATGATGATGATGATGATGATGATGATGATGATGATGATGATGATGATGATGATGGTGGTGGTGGTGGTGGTGGTGGTGATGATGATGATGATGAGAGGGAGGAGAACAGGAGCAGGAGGAGGCGGAGGATGATGATCAGATCGGATCGGCCGTCCTCGGAAATGCCCG